GGTTCTTTTATCTCTTGAATGAAGGCTTTATGTTAGAACACTAAGTATTTTTTGTGTTGATTATTATTTGTTTTGGTTCATTTTGATGTTTTAAGCGTCATTCCCGAATGTGATTGATGAAAATTGAAGAAGTTGGAGATTTTAAGCAAAGTGGAAGAATCGTGACCCAAGCTTTTATGGATTTGATGATAAGAGATGAAAAAGGCATTTTTCGGGTGTATTTATAAATTCAAGTAATAAATAAGAACAGCAAGGTCAAAATTGGAATTATGGGAACAATAATTCCATTTTCCTTTCACAACTTGAAAGGACATTTTGGAGGCTCAAAAATAAGGGAAAGAACAAAAGGACTGTACGGAAGTCCAATCAGCCCCCTTACCGAACCCCACAAATACAGGGGTCCCACAATTTTTTGCGAGTCCAACCCCCATTTGTGGGCTCCTGTCAGGGAGGCGGTCAACCTCCCTGTTACAGGAGCAAAATTCTTTAATTTTATCTTTATTGTCCTCAGCTTTTTAATAAAGTTATCAATTTTATATAGCTTTTGTTACTTTTCATCATGAACTAAAATTCTAAATGGTGGTTGATTCACGTAGCATTACCCTAGGATAACTAATTTCAATGTTTGCCTATCAAATTTGCATTACCCATTTCACCTTGTGCTTGTAATGTATTTAATGTCTTTAGGTACTTGATCATCAAACGTTTGCTTAGTCAAGCACTTAATCTTAGGGAGTTTATTGATTATTTTAAAACTGGTAGCAAGCATTCTAGATTCTTGTAAAATATAGAGATAAAATCCTAAACTTAGTTGATCATTTGAGCTATTCTTATGAAAATTAATTGATTGAGTATTAATCGACATAACGGATTGAATTTTAATACACTCAATTTGGGCCAGTTTGACGTTCGAGAAATGTAAGAGAGTAGGTAATGCCTTAAATTCCTTTTAGAGAGATTTTTGGGACAATTAAGTGAAATCATGAATCCCAACATATTTTTAATTATACTTATGCAAAAATTCAATTTTACTTGCATTCATAGTTTCTAATTGCTTTTTATTTAATTAGATTGTAAAAAGATCAAACCAGTTTGTTTATGTTATCCAATAATTTAATCAAACTAGAATTAAATCACTTAAATATATGTAGACCAATTATCGTGGGACCGACACTTGTCATCACTTTATTAGTTCATGATTCGTGCACTTGCGGTATTGTGTTTTAGATTTCAAACTAGTTATTCGCGCCGTTGCTTTGAATGATTCTTATTTGTATTAAGTGTGTTAATTCTTAATAATTGAGTTGTATTTTCATTTTCTTTTAATTTTTATTGCAAGAATTTTTATTTAGTAATTGAAGGGGATTTTGACCCCTCTATGCACTTAAAAAACAATCAAGTATCAC